AGGGAGAAATCAACATGGCACAATAATACTAGGGGATTTCAACACCTCAATTACACCAATGGAGACATCTTCCAGACAGAAAATCAATAAGGGCTTTAAATGACATATTAAATCAGATGGAATTAATAGATATATATAGAATATCCCATCAAAAAGCAGCAGAATACACATTCTTTTCAAGTACTCATGGAACATTCCCCAGGATAAGTCATATGATAGGGCACAAAACAAGTCTCAGTAAATTTAAGAAAATTGAAATCATATCAAGCATCTTTTCTGACCACAATGCTGTGAGACTAGAAATCCAATACAAGAAAAAAACTGCAAAAACCACAAGAATGTGGAGGTTAAACAAATGCTACTAAATAACCAATGGTTCACTAAATAAATCAAAGAAGAAATTTAAAAATACCTAGATACAAATGAAAATGAAAACACAACAATCTGAAATCTATGGGATACAACAAAAACAGTGCTAAGAGGGAGTTTTATACAAGCTTACCTCAGAAAACAAGAAAAATCTCAAATAAACAACCTAAACTTACACCTAAAGGAACGAGAAAAAGAAGAACAACAAAACCCAAAGTTAATAGAAAGAAAAAAACATAAATATCAGAGCAGAAATCAATAATACATTAAAAGTATCACAAACCATGATCAAGTGGGACTTATCCCAGGGATGCAAGAATGGTTCAATATCTGTGAGTCAATCAATGTGATACACCACATTAACAAACTGAAGAATAAAAATCATATGATCATCTCAATAGATGCAGAAAAACCTTGACAAATTCAACATCCATTTATGATAAAAAAGAGACCTCTCAACAAAGAGGAAACATACCTCAACACAATAAAGGCCATATGTGGGGGCTTCCCTGGTGGCGCAGTGGTTGAGAGTCTGCCTGCCAATGCAGGGGACACAGGTTCGTGCCCCGATCCGGGAGGATCCCACATGCCGCGGAGCGGCTGGGCCCATGAACAGTGGCCACTGAGCCTGCGCGTCCGGAGCCTGTGCTCCGCAACGGGAGAGGCCACAACAGTGAGAGGCCCGCGTACCGCAAAAAAAAAGGAAAAAAGGAAAAAAATAAAAGGGCCATATGTGACAAGCCCATAGCTAAGTAGCATCATACTCAATGGTGAAAAATTGAAAGCATTTCTAGTAATATCAGGATGAAGACAAGGATGCCCACTCTCACCAATTTTATTCACTTTTATTTACATAGATTTGGAAGTCCTAGTCAAAACAACCAGTTGAAAAAAGAAATAAAAGTAATCCAGGGCTTCCCTGGTGGCGCAGTGGTTGGGAGTCCGCCTGCCGATGCAGGGGACGCGGGTTCGTGCCCCAGTCCGGGAGGATCCCACATGCCGCGGAGTGGCTGGGCCCGTGAGCTGTGCCCGCTGAGCCTGCATGTCCAGAGCCTGTGCTCTGCAACACGAGAGGCTGCAGCAGTGAGAGGCCCGCGTACCGCAAAAAAAAAAAAGTAATCCAAATTGGAAAGGAAGAAGTAAAACTGTCACTGTTTGTAAATGACAAGATACTATGCACAGAAAATCCTAAAGATGCTACCAAAAAACTACTAGAACTCATCAATGAACTTGGCAAAAGTTGCAGGATATAAAATTAGTACAGTAAGTTGCAAACTTTCAAAGATGCGAATGTGCCCAGAGAAAGGGCAAAGAGAGAGAAGAGGAAGAAAAAGTAACTGAAGAACCAAAGAGATCCATGATGCAGGAAATGGCAAGGGGATTTTCTTTATTTGAGGAGGCACTGTTAGTTTTTGAGACACAGGACCAAAATGTAGAACAGTACATGAAGTTTGCAGCAGCCATTCAGAAGGCAATCCAGTGCTACAGTGTCATCTATGAAAGAAAAAAGATCTACTACCAAGACATCACTGGATTGTTTTTTCAAGAGGGTAGATAGAATTGAATCTAGCAAGGAACCAGAAGCTGTGCCATCAACGTCACCCATGAGTGCAATTGCAGCTTACACTCAGTCTCCTATTGCTGACGATCTTTCAGCTCTACCATCTCCCACCTCCCCTCCCTCCTCCAGTCAGTAACTCTTCTTGCCTGTTCACTTGATGCCAGCTCCTGTATGCCAGCTGTTGTACTGTACTACTGTACTTTTCAAGGTACTGTATTATAAGATTAAAAACGTTTTCTTTATTTTTGTGTTTGTTTTTTATGCATTATTTGTTTGAAAAGTATTATAAACCTATTACAGTACAGTACTGTACTGTACAGCTGATTGTGTTAGTTGGGTACCTAGGCTAACTTTGTTGGACTTACGAACAAATTGGACTTACGAATGTGCTCTCAGAATGGAACTCGTTCATATGTAGGGAACTTACCATATACAGAAATCTGTTGCATTTCTATACACTAACCAAGAAGCTATCAGAAAGAAAAATTAAGAAAACAATCCCATTTACAACTGCAACAAAAAGAATAAAATTCCTAAGGATAAGTCCAGCTGAGGGAGTAAAAGGCCTGTACTTGGAAAATTATAAGGCACTGATAAAAGAAACTGAAGACAACAAAACAAATGGAAAGATAAACCGTCCTCAAGGATTGGAAGAATAAATATTGTTAAAATGACCATACTGCCCAAGGCAATCTCCAAATTCAATGCACTCCCTATCAAAATACCAACAGTATTTCTCATAGAACTAGCAAAAATAATTCTAAAATTTGTATGGAAACATGAAAGACCCCAAACAACCAAAACAATCCTGAGATAAAAGAACAAAGCTGGAGTATCATGCTCTTTGGTTTCAAACTATACTACAAAGCTACAGTAATCAGAACAGTATGATACTGGCTCAAAAACAGACACATAGATCAATGGAACACAAGAGAAAACCCAGAAATAAACCCACATTTATATGGGCAATTAGTCTCATCAAAGGAGGCAAGAATATACAATGGAAAAAGACAACCTCTTCAATAAATGGTGTTGAGAAAACTGGACAGCTATACACAAAAGAATCAAACTAGACCACTCTCTCACACCAAGCATAAAAATAAATTTAAAATGAATTGAAGACTTATATGTAAGGCTTGAAACCATAAAACTTCTAGAAGAAAACATAAGCAGCACACTGTTTGACATGGGTCTTAGTAATTTTGAGGGGTGGGGGTATGTCTCCTCAGGCAAGGGAAACAAAAGTAAAAATAAACAAATGGGACTACATCAAACTAAAAAGCTTTTACATAGGGAAGGAATCCATCAACAAATGAAAGGCTACTACTTAATGGGAGAAGATACATACAATAAGAGGATACTATCCAAAATATACTGGAATTCATAGAACTCAACATCAAAAAAGCAAACAACCTAATTAAAAAGTGGGCAGAGGATCTGAATAAACATTTTTCCAAGGAAGACATACAGATGGCCAACAGACACATGAAAAGATGCTCACATCAGTAACCATCAGAGAAATGCAAATCAAAACCACAATGAGAAACCACCTCACATCTGTCAGAATGGCTATCATCAAAAAGACAATAAATTGGTGAGGATGTGGAGACAAGGGAATGCTTATGTACTGTTGGTGGGAATGTAAATTGGTGCAGCCACTATGGAAAACAGAATGGAGATTCCTCAAAAATTAAAAATAGAACTACCTTATGACCCACAAATTCCACTCTTAGGTATTTATCTGAAGAAAACAAAAGCAATAATTCAAAAAAATATATGCACCCCTAAGTTCATTGCAGCATTATTTACAATAGCCAAGATAAGTGCCCATCAATAGATTAATGGATAAAGAAGATATATATATATATGAAACATATAAAACATATTAAAGAATGAAATATTGCCATTTTCAACAACATGGATGGACCTAGGGGGTATAATGCTAAGTGAAATAATTCAGACAGAGAAAGACAAATACTGATTTCACTTAAATGTGGAATCTAAAAAAGAAAACAGGGCTTCCCTGGTGGCGCAGTGGTTGAGAGTCCGCCTGCCGATGCAGGGGGCACAGATTCGTGCCCCGGTCCGGGAAGATCCCACATGCCGCGGAGCGGCTGGGCCCGTGAGCCATGGCCACTGAGCCTGCGCGTCTGGAGCCTGTGCTCTGCAACGGGAGAGGCCACAACAGTGAGAGGCCCGCGTACTGCAAAAAAAAAAAAAAAGAAAAAAAAGAAAACAGTGAACAAACATAACAAAACAGAAGAAGTTATAGATACAGAGAACAAACAAACAGGTAGTTACCAGAGGGGACAGGTGTGTGGAGAAAGAAATAGGTGAGGGAAATTAAGAGGTATAAACTTCCAGGTGCAAAATAAATGAGTCAAGGGTATGAAATGTACAGTGTGGGGAATATAGTCAATAACAATGTAATATCTTTGTATGGTGACAGATGACTTATCATGGTGATCATTTTGAAATGTATAGAAATATGGAATTACTATGTTGTGTAACAGGAGCTAACACAGTGTGGTAGGTCAATTATACTTCAAAAACAAACCCATAGAAAAACAGATCAGTTTTGTGGTTACCAGAGTCGGGCATTAGGGGAGGGGGAACTGGATGAAGGCAGTCAAAAGGTAGAAACTTCCAGTTATAAGATAATAAGTACTAGTGATGTAATGTATAACATGATAAATATAATTAACACTGCTGTGTGTTATATATGAAAGCTGTTAGGATGGTAAATCCTAAGAGTTCTCATCACAAGGAAAATTTTTTTCTATTTCTTTAATTTTGTATCTATATGAGATGATGAATGTTCACTAAACACTGTGATAATCATTTCATGATATATGTAAGACAAATCATTATGCTGTACACCCTAAACTTGTCCAGTGCTGTATGTCAATTATATCTCAATAAAACTGGGGAAAAAAGGAAAAACAGAAAAAATTTTAAAATAAAATAAAAATAACAAAATATCCCCTAAATTTCAAAGTACATCTTCTTTTTGTTCATTTCTACAACAGGTTGTTACTATTACTATATCTAACCTGTTTCCATTTCTCAGGTTTGGGAGGAGGTTAATGCTCAGATGGTGTTTGCTCCAGCTCGCCATTACTGACACCTGTGCAGCCTTTGCTCCCACCTTCCTCATTTACTGCTCCCTACGCTTCTTGGCTGGGTTTTCTACCATGAGCATCCTGACAAATATTTCTGTGCTTAGTAAGTCAATACTTTAGGTCTTTGACATTTTCCAAGCCTTAACTTTGACTTTGAAATTCTAACTTTGTTTGAAGTCAAAATCCTGTTTGTGTTTTCTTTCAGTTGTAGAATGGACAGGGCCCCGATTCCAAGTCATGGGAATGACCATGTCAGTCTGTGCTGCTTGCATGGGACAGATCGCCCTAGGAGGACTAGCTTTTGCCATTCGAGACTGGCACACCCTTCAGCTGGTGTTTTCTGTACCATTATTTGTCTTCTTTCTTTCCTCAAGGTATAAGCTTTCTTACTTCCTTTGTCTTAGAGGATCCTAGACGCAAGGTACCTGAAATTAGGATGCAAGAATTCTGGTTGGTCTTAGTCAACACTTGAGCACATGCTCTACTAATCTGTGCCCTATATACAATTAAAGAAGCAGAACAGGTAGGCTTGCCAGATAATATCAAGGGCATTCAGTTAAACTTGAATTTTAGATAAAACAACAAACTTTTTGTATAGTATGCCAAATATTGTATGGAGCATAGTTACACTAAAAATTATTAATTGTTTATATGAAATTTCTACTTACCTAAGAATTCTGTATTTTCATGTACTAACCAGATAAAATACAGTGTCTCATTAAAGTAAAATTTCAAATAAACAGCAAATACTTTTTAGTGTGTGTCCAAAATATTGCATGGGACAGTCATACTCAAGAATTACCCATATTCACTGTTTATCTGAATTCAAATTTAACTAAACACAGTGGGTTTTCTTGTTGTTTGGGGTTTTTAAAATTTATTTATTTATTTATGGCTGCCTTGGGTCTTCGTTGCTGCACGCGGGCTCTCTCCAGTTGTGGTGAGTGGGGGCTACCCCTCGCTGCGGTGCACAGGCCTCTCATCACGGTGGCCCCTGTTGTTGCAGAGCATGGGCTCCAAGGAGCAAGGCCTTCAGTAGTTGTGGCACACAGGCTCAGCAGCCGTGGCGCACGGGCTTAGTTGCTCCGCGGCATGTGGGATGCTTCCGGACCAGGGCTCGAACCTGTGTCCCCTGCATTGGCAGGCGGATTCCCAACCACTGCGCCACCAGGGAAGCCCAAACACAGTGTTTTATTTGCTAAAACTGATAATATCCCCCTGAATAATGGGGGGAGGGCACTATGACTCCGACTCTATATTCCCGGCAGTCAGTGAAGGTGTACTGCATGGAGAGGTCATCTTCACAGCTTCCTAGTTATAGTACAAAAGAACATAAGTTTATATTTCCTGGTATAACAAAACAAGAGAGAGGTATTAGATGGGAGGGGAGAGGCATTTCAGGAAAAAGCCTCTGTGGAAAAAAAATGGGCAAATGAAAGTTGATGGCACCTCTGTCCTCTTCCTTGATCAGGTGGCTGGCAGAGTCTGCTCGGTGGCTGATTATCACCAACAAACCCGAGGAGGGCTTAAAGGAACTTAGAAAAGCTGCTCACAAGAATGGAAGGAAGAATGCTGGAGACGCTCTAACCATGGAGGTAAACAGGAGAGGGAGTTGGTTATGGAATATAGGAAAGATATGACCTGACATATACACTAGTCGGTGTCCATAAAGTGAATAAAGGGTGGGAACACTGGTGTGGTTTGGGATCTTCTTACCTCATTGTCCTGGTCTTCAGTAGCTGTCAACATGGTTTGAGCGAACATTAGGATGCTGATGCCGAAAGGACTGGATGCAGATATTTTACTCAACAGAGGCAGATAACGCATATATGTGGAAGCTAGACAAATGGTACAGTATTTATGATTGTAAAGGTTGTTAATGTTCTCACTTTGCGTTAGAGAAAGTAACAAAAACTAATCCATTTCTTTCCAATTAACATTTCAATGTTGTTTTTTTCAGGATAGTAGGGCAAGTTGAAGGGCAGCTTAGTGACCATGCAGAATAGAGCATAAGGAGGCTTATTTGTCAAGTCAATCATATATGCTTCCATTCATGGTATATTTACTGAAAGGGCATTCTGTTCTATATAGGAAATATGGTAATGACCACAATAGTCCAAATCCCTGTTTCGTGGAGTTTACATTCTACTTATTACAAGTTCCAAGAACATGACTGAGTGGAAATGCTTCAGAGAGATCTTTCTCTTTTTTTATTTTCCACCCCAGGTATGGAAGGCAGATGCTGTTGTAGGTCATAAAGTAGACCGTTCATCATGTCATGAATGTATAAATTATTTATTGAAAAATTATAATGTAGTAGGCATGGTGCTTGGTCATGAATAGCAGTATGAGTCAGAATCCCATTTTTCACAGAGTTTTAATATTAAAAAGAGAAATTTTAACATACATTTAAAAATAACTTTTATTGTGGTCAAAATGCATAGAATGAAATCTAAAAATTTTAACTGTACAATACAGTATTGTTAACTATAAGTACAATGAGCTCTAGGACTTTTTCATCTTGCATGACTAAAACTCTATACCTATTAAACAACAGTTTCTCAATTCCCTTATCCCCAGTCCCTGGTGACCACCATCCTACTTATTGTTCTATTATTTTAATATTTTAGATATCTCACATAAGTGGAATCATGCAGCATTTGTCCTTCTATGAGAACTATTTATCCTTTGTGACTGACTTACTTCACTTAGCAAAATTTTCTAGATTCATCTATGATATAGCATATGGCAGGATTTCCTCATCTTTATGGTTGAATAATATCCTATGGTATGAATATACTACATTTTCTTTATCCATTCATCCACTGATGGGCATTTAGGTTGTTTCCATATGTGAATAGTGTGGCAATGAATATGAGTATGAAAATGTCTCTTCAATATCCTGTGTACAATTCTTTTGGCTATATAACCATAATTGATATTGCCAGATCATATGGTATTTCTGTTGTTAACTTTTTTGTTTGCAACGATAAGAGAATGAAAAGAATGCTAATAGAGACAAGGAGAAATCATCTGCCCTCATTTAACAGGAAAAAGAGAGTGCTAGGAGCTAGACAGCCAAAGAGAAGCAATAAAACGTTTCTGCAAGTAAGTTCAGTTACACGTGTGATAGATTTTTTAAAAAACACTTTACTGAGGTATGATTAACGTACAAAGAGCTGTACATATTTAACGTACACAACTTGATGTATTTGCAGATGAGTATACATCTAAATATCATCACCACAGTTTATGCAATAAACATATCCATCACCTCCTAAAACTCTCTCTGCCCTTTATTCATTATTTTTTTGTGATAACACTCAACATAAGATCTACCCTCACAGCAACTTTTAAGTATACGGTACAGTATTATAACCCTAGACACTAGACTGTAAAGTAGATCCCTAGGGTTGATTTATCTTGCACAACTGAAACTCTGTACTCTATGACAAATATTTCCCCATTTCTCACATCCCCCAGCACCTGGCAAACACCATTCTACTCTCTGCTCCTTCGAGTTTGACTCTTAGATTCCTCGTGTAAGTGGTATCATGTAGTATTTGTTCTTTTGCACATGGATTATTTTACTTAGCATAATGACCTCTAGGTTCATTATGCTGTGGAAAAGGGTGGAATTTCCTTCTTTTTATTGCTGAATAGTATGCCATTTTACATATACATATGTGTACACACACACACACACACACACACACACACACATGTATTTTCTATTCATCCATGGATGGACATAGATTGTTTCCATATCTTAGATTTAGATTGTTTCCATATCTTAGCTATTGTGAATAATGGTCCAGTGGACATGTGAGTGCAGATATCTCTTCAAGATCTTGATTTTAATTCCTTTGGATATATACCCAGAAGAGGGATTACAGGATAATATACCAGTTCTATTTTTAATTTTTTGAGGAAACTCCATACTGTCTTCATAGTGGCTACACCATTTCACATTCCTAACAGCAGTGTACAAGGGTACCCTTTTCTCCACATCTTCACCAACACTAATTACTTTTTAAAATAATTGCCATCCTAACTGGTGTGAAGTGACAACTCGTAATTTTGATTTGCCTTTCCCTAACAACTAGTGGTGTTGAGCCCTTTTTCATGTACCTCTTGGCCACTTGTATGCTGTCTTTGCAGAAATGTGTATTCAGTTTGTATGTCAATTTTTTAATTAAGTTATTTGGCTTTTTTACTATTGAGTTGTACGAGTTTCCTATGTATTTTGGATATTAACCCTCTATAAGACATATGGCTTGCAAATATTTTCTCCCATTTTGTACGTGCTTTTCCATTTTGTCAGTTATTTCCTAGCTGTGTAGAAGCTTTTAAGTTTGATGTATTTAGTACGATTTGTCTCTTTCTGCTCATGGCCTGTGCTTTTGGCGTCACATCCAAAAAATTATCGCTAAGACCAATATCAACAAACTTTTCTCCTATGTTTTCTTTAGGAATTTGACAGTTTAGATCTTACATTTTAGTGTTTAATCCATTTGTGTTGATTTTGTGTATAGTGTAAGTTTCCAGTTTCATTCCTTTGCATGTGGATATCCAGTTTTCCCAACACCATTTATTGACAATATCCTGTCCCCATTGTGAACTCTTGGCACAACTATCAGAAATCAATTGTCTGTATATGCATGAGTTTATTGCTGGGCTTTCTATTCTGTTCCATTGGTCTATATGTTTGTTTTTAGGCCAGTATCACACTCTTGGTTACTGTGGCTTCATAATGTATTTTGAAATCAGAATATGTGATGCCTCCCGCTTTGTTTCTGCTCAAAAATTCTTTGACTGTGGGGACCTTCTGTGTTTCCATATGAATTTTAAGATTGTTTTTTCTATTTCTGTAAAGAATGCCATTGGGATTTTGACAGGGATTTATTGAATCTGCATACTGCTTTGTATTGTATGGACATCTTAACAGTATTAATTTATTTGTTTAATCCATGAACATGATGTCTCTCAATTTTCTAGTATCTGCCTTAATTTCTTTCTTCAGGGATTATAGTTTTCAGTATACAAGTCTTTCACCTCCTTGGTTAAGTTTATCCCTAAATACTTTATTATTTTGATGCTACTGCAAACAGGATTGCTTTCTTAATTTTATTTTTAGACAGTTTGTGGCTGGTGTATGGAAATATAACTGATTTTATATGTTAATTTTGTATCTTGTAACTTTACTGAATTCATTTATTAGTTCTAACAATTTTTTGGATATGTATTAGGGTTTTCTACAAATTAGATCATGTTGCCTTCAAACAGACAATTTTATGTCTTCCTTTCTGATTTGAATGCCTTTTGTTATTTTTTTTCTTACCTAATTGCTCTGGCCAGGACTTCCAGTCCTACATTGAAGTGTGATCCTTGTCTTGTTCCAGATCTTAAGGGAAAAGCTTTCTGTTTTTCACCATAGAGTATGATGTTAGCTGTGGGCTTTACATACATGGCCTTTAATGTAAGTTCCTTCAATACCTAATTTGTTGAGAATTTTTACCATAGAAGTGCATTGAATTTTGTCAAATGTGTTTTCTGCATTTATTTGAGGTAGTCACACGATCTTTAGCCTTCATTCTGTTAATTTGGTGTATCGCATTGATTTGCTTATATTGAACCATGCTTGCATCCCAGGAGTAAAGCCCACTGGGTAATGGTGCACGATACTTTCAATATGCTGTTGAATTTGGTTTGCTAATATCTTGATGATTTTTTCAACTATGTTCTTCAGGAATATTGGCCTGCATTTTTCTTTTCTTTTCTTTTCTTATGGTATCTTTGTCTCACTTTGGTATCAGGATCATATTGGTCTGACAAAATGAGTTTAGGACTGTCCTTGTCTTCTATTTTTTGGGAGAGTTTGAGAGGATTGGTATTAATTAATTAATATCTAATTAATTAATCTTCAAATGTTTGGTAGAATTCACCTGAAAAGCCCTATGGTGTTAGGCTTTTGTTCCTGGAATTTTTAAAATTACTGCCACATACTCTTTATTTGTTATTGGCCTATTGAGGCTTTCTGTTTCTTCTTGATTCAATCTTTGTGGGTTATATGTCATATCTTTGTGTTGCAGTGATCCTTTTATCACTATAAATTACCTTCTTTGTCTCTTGTGACAGTATTTGTTTAAAGTCTATTTTATGTATACAAGTTGACTATCCCTGCCCTGTTTTGGTTATCATTTGCATGAAATGTCTTTTTTTTATCCGTTCACTTTATGGCTACTGTGTTTTTAAATCTAAAGTGACTGTCTTACAGATAGCATAAAATTGGATCTTTTTTTAAAAAATCCATTCAGCCACCCTATATCTTTTGATGGATGAGCTTAATCCATTTACATTTAAAGTAATTATTGATAGGTAAGTACTTACAATTGATAAATTGTTTTCTCTCTGTTTTATTGTTCTTTTTTCCTCTCTTCTATTGCTATCTTCCCTTGTGATTTGATTTTTTATAGTGATATACAATACTTTGATTCTTTTCTGTTTTTATTTTGTATATCTACTGTAGGTTTTCTCTTTGTTGTTTCCATGAGACTTGCATAAAACTTCTTATAGTTATAACAGTCTATTTTAA